AGAATAAAATATTTTAAGACAAGGCGTTCAACTATTTTCCAAATTATTTCTAAAAAATATGTATGGTATCAGATTGATCTAATTTCTGTGCACTGAGGACAAGCAAGTCCTAGGTTACAAACTGTACCCTCCAATGCAAGAAGAAGATGCATTTCTTCCTTTAGGAGGTGCTATTGTCATGAGAACAGAAAAAGGTTTCAGGTTTTGTTTTTGCATGTGGGTGGGTATTCTGTTTGTAATAATTGTTTGGATACACTATATTTTTAATATGCTAGTTGTGATAATTTCATGCCAAGTAAAAATGTCCATAGTCATATTTTATGTTCCTAAAGTAACAGAACGATTTCAATCTGGAAAAGAAGTGCTAATATAGCATTTTTTTCAATTTTCCCGAAAAGTTCCGTTTCCCCCCGAAAAAAACCAGGGAAAAAAAGGGTTTTTTCCCCCCAAGTTTCAAAATTTCTGGAAATTTTACATCTCTACCCACTCCTCCACTCTTGGGCAAGCCATAGTTCTGACAGAGCTGTTCTCTCAAGGACACTTCTGGAAAGAGCTCTCTCAGCCCCCACCTGCCTCACAGGGTGTCTGTTGTGGGGAGGGGAAGGGAAAGGAGAGTATAAGCCACTCTGAGACTCCGAGTGAAGGGCAAGGGGGTATAAATCCAATCACCTCCTCCTCCTAACCAGGGCCGACCAGGCTCGTCTTCCGAGATCTGATGAGATCGGGCTAGCCTAGGGTTGCCAAGTCAAATTTTCTTACCAGCGGGGGAGCCTCGCCGGGCTCCGGGAGCCGGCGGTTGACGTGCGCGCGCTGCCAGCACATCACCGGAAGTGACGCGCGACGTCGATCACGTTGAGGGCGTGGCCCCGATCGTCGGAGGGAAAACCATAGAGTTTTCCCTCCTACGATTGGGGCCACGCCCCCAACGTGATCGACGCTGCGCTTCGGGGGGCGGAGTTCCCCCCAGCCCCAATTCCATGGGGGAGGGAATCGGGCCTCCGAAGCGGGGGTTTACCCGCCCCCACTTGGCAGCCCTAGGCTAGCCTGACCCATCCAGGTCACAGCAGTGACAAACAGAGGTGGTTTCCCTTTGCCTTCCTCTGCTTAGCAACCCTGGACTTCCTCGGTGGTCACCCATCCAAGTATTAACCACAATACAAGAACTCCTTGTGGGCACTCCATGAAATTGCTGAGCGGTCGGGTTAGAACGGATAAAAGGAAGTACTTCTTCACCCGAAGAGTGATGAACACATGGAATTCACTGCCACAGGAAGTGGTGGCGGCTACAAGCATGGACGGCTTCAAAAGGGAATTAGATAAGCATATGGAGCAGCGGTCCATCAGTGGATATTAGTCACAAGGTATAGATAGGGGCTCTGGGGCAAGTGATGCTCTGTCTTCTTGGTGCTTGGGGGGGTCAACAGTGAGAGGGCTTCTAATGTCCTGGCCCCACTGCTGGACCTCTTGAGGGCACCTGGTATTTCTGGCCACTGTGTGACACAGAGTGTTGGACTGGATGGGCCTTTGGCCTGATCCAACATTGGCGTCTCTTATGTTCTTATGTTCTTATGACCCTGCTTAGTTTCCAAGATCTGACGAGATCAGGCTTGTTTGGGCTGTACAGGCTGCTGTCCTTGCCCCTTAAAGCACCAGACAGCTGGTGAACAGCACTGTTATGTACGCGGACCGCCACCAGGGCTCCGCGGCTAAGCAGGAGCTTGGTCCCCAAACACAAAGGGGACCTCGGATCCTAGCCCACCTCGAGTCCACCAGTAGCACCCTTGGTGGGAAACTCAAATCCTCCAATGGGGACAAAGGTGTGCCGGGTGGGAGTGTATAGAGTTGGCCTTGCGGGCCGTTTTTCCTTGTCTTGTTGTGAAGTACAATAAATGCGTCTGAACGCATGTCGTAGTCCGAGTTCTCCATGCGTCGAACCCAGTACTTTTCAAGCATCTAAGCCCAGCCGTGCTGCAACGACAGCAACCCATTTCCAGTAACCTTTTGCATTTCTTACGAAGACAGAAAATACGAAGCTGGGGCTCTTTATGGAAGAGTGCATGGCTCTCTTCAGTGCGGCGGCTGGGCCTGTGTGGAAATCATCACTCCTAGCCTGAGTTTTGGTTTGTGGACTCTGGAGTGTGAGTCTAAGGTAGTCTCGCCTTCCCAGAGCCTTTGTATGTTGGTTCTGCCTATAAAAGCCTCCTTTAAGAAGGCCTCTGTTCCTTTTTGAGAGGCGGTTGTGGAAATGCACACTGCTTGATCGAACTGCAGAATTCGAAATGAAGAACGTTTCATTCCATTAATGCAGAATTTGTAATCTCCATCCGGTCGGGTGGCCAGCCTCCCCGGGGCGGGGGTCATGGTGGGGCTGCAGTTCTCACAGAATTACATTTGGTCTCCAGACCACAGAGATCAGTTCTTCTGGAGCAAATGGCAGCGTCAGAGTGCAGACTGTATGGTATACCGTAGATTCTTGATGAAATCCCAAATTGCCCTTTCCACAGGCACTGTCCTCACATCTCCAGGAATTTCCCAAGCTAAAGTTGGCAACCCTAGGAGGAAGAGGAGGAGGAGATTGGATTTATACCCCGCCCTTCACTACCCAAAGGAGTCTCGGAGCGGCTTACAAACTCCTTTCCCTTCCCCTCCCCACAACAGACACCCTGTGAGGTGGGTGGGGCTGAGAGAACTCTGAGAAAAACTGCTCTTTTTCAAGGACAGCTGTGCCAGAGCTTGTGACTGACCCAAGGTCACATCAGCAGGTGCCAGTGGAGGAGTGGGGAATCAAACCCGGATCTCCCAGATTAGAGTCCGCACACTTAACCACTACACCAAACCCTACAATCAAACCATTTTCTAAAACTGGAACAGATTAAGAGAATGTTAAATGTCAATTTGTTATTCAGATCTTGTTCAAAATGCAATCTCAATTTAATATCAGCAAAGCAAGCTGAAGTGTGCATATATCATCTCTCAGAACTAAATTGATGGCCTGTCAAAGCAACCTTTAACGGCATCTACGTGTTATGTAATGAAAGAACTACAGGGAGAGCAAGAAATGCCTTTTGTGGTTGGGCACTTTAAATAATAGATCGTGTTCCATGTTATGGGCTTAACACGATGGCCCAGGGACTGGCAAAGCCGTTCCAGGCTCTGGGAGCCAAGCTCTGGCTCTCGGACTGCTATCCTGGATCTCTTGAGGGTATCCTGTGAGCTTCCATTTTACGTTCAGTCTCAGCGTGGCCGCTTAGGACACTGCCTGCTCTGTGCAAGCAACAGGAGGGTCTTATCTCATGGAAAATAGCTGCCTCGGTCAGGAACGACTGGCCCTTGCTTTTGGAAGTGTCTGGGTGTTTGGTTCAGTTGCATACATAGTGCTTCCTATCCGTGGCTAAAAGGTTGTGCGTCCTGGCATCCTCAACATGCTGTGGTCTGCAGGTAAAGGCTCTCATTTCGTGCCCTTCCGGCATGTGTGCATTTCAACCCCCCCCCCAAGAGTATACATGGGTTAGATTTTGCATTAAGAACATAAGAGAAGCCAATGTTGGATCAGGCCAATGGCCCATCCAGTCCAACACTCTGTCACACAGTGGCGAGAAATACCAGGGGCCATCAGGAGTCCACCAGTGGGGCCCGGACACTAGAAGCCCGCCCACTGTCTGCCCCCCCCCAAGCACCAAGAATACAGAGCATCCCTTGTCCCAGACCGAGAGTTCCTATCTGTACCTTGTGGCTGATAGCCACAGATGGACCTCTGCTCCATATGTTTATCCATAAGAACATAAGAGAAGCCAGTGTTGGATCACGCCAGTGGCCCATCCAGTCCAACACTCCATGTCACACAGTGGCCAGAAATACCAGGTGCCATCTGGAGGTCCAGCAGTGGGGCCAGGACCTGTGCCCCCCCCCAAAGCACCAAGAAGACAGAGCATCCCTTGCCCCAGACCTAGAGTTCCTCCCTATACCTTGTGGCTAATAGCCACTGATGAACCTCTGCTCCATATGTTTATCCATAAGAACATAAGAGAAGCCAATGTTGGATCAGACCAGTGGCCCATCCAGTTCAACACTCTGTGTCACACAGTGGCCAGAAATACCAGGGGCCATCAGGAGGTCCAGCAGTGGGGCCAGAACACTAGAAGCCCTCCCCCTGTTGTCCCCCCCAGCACCAAGAATACAGATCATCCCTTGCCCCAGATCAGGGGTGGCCAAACTTGCTCAATGTAAGAGCCAAACAGAATAAACGTCATACGCCTGAGAGCCGCAAGACATGAGCAAATATTACACGGTTTTATTTAAAAATAATGCAGATTTGCTTTTTATTAACATTAAACGAGACTTCCAAAAATAGAAACAGAAGGGGTCAAAACAGGTATTGATAATGATATTTATTTGTCCAATGTTATGTATTTGTTTGCTAGTGATATTTATTTGTCTGAGAGAGAGAGAGAGAGAAAGAGAGAGAGAAACGAATAAAGCAAATAGATGGGAGGGAGGGAGAAAAAGCTTCCCCAGCCGCTCTGCCAGGAGCCGCACAATATGTGTGAAAGAGCCGCATGTGGCTCCCGAGCCACAGTTTGGCCACCCCTGCTCCAGACCTAGAATCCCTACCTATACCTTGTGGCTAATAGCCACTGATGGGCCAGGTACATTGCAGAAGACATGTAGGCTGCAAGGAGTTCATCTTGGATTACCCTCATGGGTAGAATGAAGGCTTGGTTGACTCCTAAATTGGAGTTCATAAGTGTAGGGTGCATCTTTTTTTTGTTGTTGAAGAAATATCTGAACGACAAAGCAAGAGAGACTTGCTTTTAATCCCCCTTTCTCTTGGTGATTTAAATCACGGTTCTCTCTTGAGTCGAGGCAGTCTGTTGTTCTGGCTCCAGAGCCCTTTGCAGGAATGATTAGACAAAAGGCGGCGTGTCCTAAGCTCCCAATAAACGTCTTTTTGTGCCAGACAAGACTGTAAATTTAATCCCTCTTCCCTAATGTTTTTCTTCAGCGTGCAGAGGGGTGCTGAACCATGGCCGACTTGGATCACAACCTCAGTCTCGCGGATGCCCTGACAGAGCCGCCGCCACAGATCGAGGAGGAAGTGAAACGGGATTTCATGGCCACCCTCGAAGCTGAGAAATTTGACGACGTGGTGGGAGAAAAAGTTGGCAAAACAGACTACGTCCCTCTTCTGGACGACGACGATGTGAAGGCCGGGAACCAGGAGGCGAAAACCAAGCCCCATGCTGACGGGGTTCAGGTGGAACGTAAGTGTCTGAGCCCAAGTATGAATTGTTGGGCTACTCACATGTGGTCTTTACACCCCCGGGTGGGCCAGGTAGAAAGTCCTTTCCTGAAATAAAAAATGGCGGAGGAGCATTTCTTGGGTTGCTATTAAACTCAGTTTGCTAGCTCGAGGAGTGCCCTTCTTAACCTTTCTTACTTGAGCAGCTTCTGGTGGGGCAAAATGCCATCAGGTACTCATTTGGGTCTGTTTGACCATTGGTCCCAGGGTGTTTGGATCCATTGACCTGTGTGGTTGGCATGACAGTGCCAAGTTATCACAGGGCCAGGAGACGGAGCTGGTGTTCCTGTCCGTGCATTTGATTAGTTTTCTGGAGAAGACTACATTGTGAGGGAGATTCTTGAGGGGTCGAAGAGGGTTGCTTGTTGTCCTGCAAACCCTGGTGTTTAATTAGGGCCAGGGTCTTGATGGGCTTCAGGAAAGGGTCCCGGTCAGGGTGGATCAGAGTTCTCACGGGAGCCAGGACTCTTCCTTGTGAACTGGATTGGTGTTGATTTTCTGACTCTAATAAACATGGAATCTCTCCTGCAGGCATTGCAAGGCCCGAGGAGTCAGAAGGTCTCCATATGGGTTTCCTGACAAAGGGCTGGGGTCCTGAGGGGTGTGTGTGTCTCAGAATCTTGCGGGGGCAGGGTGTGAATGAGCAGAAACTTTGCTCACATGATAGGTTTGAAAATTCCTTAGCGGTACCTGTTCCCTTTAGCAAAGTGCTGAACACGACTAGGGAGAAGGTCTGACAACCATTCTGCTCTGGCATCCAATGGGAGCAGCTTCACATGAACACTGATGGACCTCTGCTCCATATGTCGACTCTATCTAATTCCCTTTTGAAGCCGTCCATGCTTTTAGCCGCCACCACATCCTGTGGCAGTGAATTCCAAGTGTTAATCTCTCTTTGGGTGAAGAAGTCCTTCCTTTTACCTGTTCTAACCTGACTGCTCAGTAGTTTCCTTGAGTGCCCACGAGTTCTTGTACTGTGAGAAAGGGAGAAAAGTACTTCTTTCTCTACCTGCTCTATGCGATGCATAATCTTATAACCATTGATCATGTCACCCCTCAGCCGTCGTTTCTCCAAGCTAAAGAGCCCCAAGCGTTTTGACCTTTCTTCACAAGGAAAGTGTTCCGACCCTTTTATCATTCAACTTGTTCTTTTCTGCACCTTGTTCCGACCCTTTTATCATCCTAGTTGCTCTTTTCTGCACCTTTTCCAATGCTAGAATCTCTTTTTTTGAGGTGTGGTGACCAGAACTGCACACAGTATTCCAAATGAGATTGCATAATTGATTTATACAGGGGCAGTATGATACTAGCTGATTTGTTTTCAATCCCCTCCCTAATAATCCCGAGCATAGCATTGACCTTTTTTTAAATTGCAGTTGCAATTTTATTGCAGGGTGATTCTGGAGACAGCGGAATATTTTCATGACCTGGCTGTCTTTCGGTGGGTCAGAGAATTCAGCTTCAAAGGTGGCTTCAGATTTCCAGATCAAGGTGTTTGTATCTGTGGTGATAGTCGCATCGTCAGTCTAACCTGATGACTGTGTGTGACCCCAGCTCTGTTATTTGAAGGGGCTGTAGGGAAGCAGCCTCCCTCCTGCGTCCCCTCTTTTGGTTCAGGATTGGAGCTGCCGGTGCCTCCCCTTTCTCAGCAGCATGAAGCCTTTCCTCTCTGCCTCCTCCCATATCCAACTCAGTTTCCTCTCTCTCTCTCTCTCTCTCTCTCTCTCTCTCTCTGTCTCTGCTTCTGACGGCTAAAATGCTCTGGGCATGCATCTCGCTGCCTCTTGTCTAGACCGCTGTCACAGTTTCCCCGTCTGGCTGGCCGGCTTTCTGATCTCATCCTCTCCAGTTAGTTCCGAATGTCTTTGCCGAAGCGCTCTCTCTCTCTCTCTCTCTCTCTCTCTCTCTCTCTCTCTCTCTCTCTCTGCCGCTGTCTCTAATCATATGTTTGTTTTTTGCTGGCTCACTGGCACGCTTTGCGTGGACGTTCGCCTTAGAGATGGCCGGCCCTTGTTTCTTTTTCTTTGCTCACAGAAGTCCCTTGATTTCTAAAGCTCGTCTCTCCCCATTTGTGATTTAAGCATTTTGCAAGTTTAAACCCCCCCCCGGCAGAGGCTCTGCTCTGGAGAATCCTTGTTTATGTAACCTGTCTTTAAAAGTAAACTTACATCTTGTGTCAGGATGTATAACTTTCTCTTCTTGTAAATGTAACCTTGCCTTTCCCAGAAAGGCACAGAATTACACTCCTGTCGGGAGAAGCGCCTAATATTAGTTCCCAAAATGGGGATGGGGGGGGGGGGGGTGGGTGGCTTGTGGGTGCAGGGGTGTGGAGTTTGAGAAGAAGAAGAAGAGATTGGATTTATACCCCGCCCTTCACTTGGAGTCTCAGAGCGGCTTACAAACTCCTTTCCCTTCCCCTCCCCACAACAGACACCCTGGGAGGTAGGTGGGGCTGAGAGAACTCTGACACAAACTGCTCTTTTTCAAGGACAGCTGTGCCAGAGCTTGTGACTGACCCAAGGTCACATCAGCAGCTGCAAGTGGAGGAGTGGGGAATCAAACCCGGTTCTCCCAGATTCGAGTCTGCACACTTAACCACTACACCAAACTGACTTGCTGATGCTGTCTCTAGGCTCGTGTTTGACAGTTTGGATGTAATTGCTTTAATGCCCTACCTCTGTTCTCAGCACTACAAATGGACTTTTGCTCCCTTCTGCTGCTACAGACAGACTAACACAGCAACCCATCTTCGTTTTTTGAAGAAATCCTCAATAGATTCATTTGGTTGTCATAGATGTTGGGGGGGGTGAAGAAGAAGAAGAGATTGGATTTATTACCCCCCCCCCACTACCCAAAGGTGTCTTAGAGCGGCTTACAAACTCCTTTTCCCTTCCCCTTCCCACAACAGACACCCTGCGAGGGAGGTGGGGCTGAGAGAGCTCTGGACAGAAACTGCTCTTTTTCAAGGACAGCTCTTATCAGAACTACGGCTTGCCCAAGGTCATCCAGCCAGGTGCAAGTGGAGGAGTGGGGAATCGAACCACGACACCAAACTGTCTCCTGGTGAGGTTTATAGGATGGATTTTGGTCCACATGATCTTATTTTGAGATGTGGAAAGCATTTTCTCTAACATGCAGCTTTCTGACTCTGAAGGTGTCATGATCTCGCCCTTATGGCATGGCACACTTTCTAGAGTTTTGGGATAGTTTAAAGCTATAAGAGAAGCCGTGTTGGATTAGGCCAAATGGTCCATCCAGTCCGACGCTTTGTGTCAGACAGTGGCCAAAGCCGAAGTGCCATCGGGAGGTCCACCAGCAGGGCCAGAACTCCAGAAGCCCTCCCACTGATGTCCCTAGAGCCCCAAGAGTACAGAGCATCATTGCCCCAGACCAAGTGTTTTCTCTATACCATCTGGCTAATAGCCACAGATGGACCTCTACTCCATATGTTTATTGATAAGAACATAAGAGAAGCCAATGTTGGATCAGGCCAGTGGCCCATCCAGTCCAACGCTCTGTTGTCACACAGTGGCCAAGAATACTAGGGGTCATCAGGGGGTCCAGCAGTGGGGCCAGTTTTGTTGAAGTGGGCAAGTATCCAGCAAACCCTTGCAGAGATTTTGGTCCTGAAGAGACTGATCCATAGAGGGGCTGGATGTGAGGGGACCAATGCTCCCTCTAAGCTGTGGAGTCTTGTGAGCTAAAATTCTACTTTGTGAGCGACTGGCATTAAAGTTGTGAGTGAGCGATTTGGCGACTGCATATATTGGTTTGCTCTGGAGCCATCCTCCCTGTGAGCCGGAGGCTAAAAAACTGTGAACTACCCCACACCGACTCAGCTTAGGGGGAACACTGGAGGGGACCCCACCACAGGGCAGCAGGATTGCATCTGTGTGGATTTTTTTTAATGGTATTGTTCTATAATGTTAATAGAGCCTTAGGTATTTGTCCCTTGCCCTTGTAATGAACCTTTCCCCTTCCCGAGACAAAAATGAGATCAGTTCTTGAATAAAGAAAATGCTTCCAGCGTGTAGGTTATGCTGCCTCTGAGCTGTCTTATGAAGGCACCCGTCATTCATATGACGGCGATGGGGTAGATCTACGACAGTACCTACTATTATCAGTATATAATTTTTTTCAGCATGGCCCCATCTGCGGATACTTCAATCTGGAGATTAGAGCCATGAACAGATACTACAAACCTGAGAAAAGCCCCGGGGGGTTGCAGAAAATCCTAAAAGGATCTGACAGTAGATGATGAGACCCTGGAGAGCAGCTGCCAGTCCGAGTAGACGATCCTGACCTTGATGGACCCTAATGCTCTGATTCAGTATAGGGCAGTTTCACGTGTGTCCATGACCCCCTTCAGCACATGACACCTTCTATAAAATACTTCATTTCTGAGGCAGGTTGAGTCATAGTTCTCATTCTGCAGCGGCACTCTTTTTGGTACCCTTGTGATAGGACTGCATGGTAATTGCTCCTCTTTTACTACTGAGGAGTTCTGGAGTTGTCTGAGTGCCATGCCCAAGGCCACGGAGCGTGTCTGTGGAGAGAGCAGGACTTGAAACTCCCACAGGACGGGAGGCGTGCCACAAGACTGGAGGAGGGCAGATTTATTTTTATTTTTATTTTTTTATTTTTAGATTTGTATCCCGCCCTCCCAACGGCTCAGGGCGGCTAACATGCAGCAGAGCCAAATTGAATAGATAAAATACAAGATGTTATCCCAAGTTTCAAAAAAGAGAGGAAGGATGACTCAGGAAACTACAGGCCAGTCAGTCTGACCTCTGTCCCAGGGAAGATACTCGAGCAGATTTTAAAGGGATCAGTCTGTGAGCATCTAAAGGACCACTTGGTGATCCAGGGAAGTCAGCATGGATTTGACCCCAACAGGTCCTGCCAGACCAACCTCATTTCCTTCTTCGATCGAGTGACGAGCTTCCTGGATACTGTGTGCAG